CTGGGCGGGAGCAGGGTGGTCAGCATGAATTTCTGCAGCAGTGCTCTGTGCTCATGAGGTGCTCCCCCTTTTTTCCCCCGAAAGGGACCTCAGCTGGCAGCTTGCCAGGACTGGATGCTTTGCATCTGGATTTCTTCTGATGCAGCAAATTTCAGCTGCCTTCCACATTAATGAAGTGGCACCAGGACTCAGAGCTGGGATTGCTTTGTCTTTGGAGTCACAGTGGAGGGCTGTGGGTGACTTCTGGTGGTTGGACCTTCCTTATAAAGAACTGCAGATCTCAGCCCTCAGCCTGTGTTTGGGTCAGTGTGCATCAGAGCTGTGCTGGGCTGGTTGGGCAGGGCTATGAAAAGGAAAGGAAGCTCAGCTGAGACCTCTGCAACCCTGACTGTATGGTTTAGTTATGCCTCGGGTGCTGAACTGAAGCCACCTGGCACTGGGGAGGAAGGCAATGGTGCCTCTTTCAGCATGGTGGTCCTGGGTCCAGCAGCCTTGTATGAAGATAGGAGAAGAGCTGCTGTCCCCAAAGGTTTCCCTTTCCAAATGCATGGCATGGAAGGGTGTTTGTGGGGTTGAAGGCTTCTCACAGTGTGCTGGGCACCCCGGCTGTAGGGCAGTGCCGTGTTGCAGCCTGCTCTCTGCACTTAGTTGCCTGGTGCCATTCTACAGGAAACTGGAAAAAAGCTGATGTCTCCTGGAGGGGAACGACACACTGCAAGGTTGGACTGGGGCAAGTGAGAGGTATGCTGTGGGCAGGTCAGGGAAGTATTCCTGGATGGAAAGTCTGCTTTCACATATGTTTTGTACCCTCCCTCCCTTGGAGGAACATTGCTTGCTTGCCATTGCAGCCACCAGCACCACATCCTTCTCCAGGCTCCAGATGTGCCTGTTCCTCCTCCCTGCCTGTGTGCCCAAGGGCAGTGAGAGATGAGCCCGAGGGCCAAGGACAGGCTCTGTCACTCCAGGAAGGCTCCCGAGCCCTGCAGAAACCAGCAGCAGGGAGCCCGCCTGTGGAGCCAGCCTCCTCCCACTGCAGTGCACTCCACTTTCCTGCCCTCCTGGGTATGTCCCCCTACTCCATCTCATTAACTCAATATCCCTCCCACCCCCTCTCCCACCACCTCATTAGCACCATATCCCCATCCACCCCTTCTCCATGCACCTTGGCCATGGCTCCTTCTTGCTGTGCTGGATAGGAGCTTCCTTTCTGCAGCCCCTTGGGTAGGTCTGGCCAGGTTTCGGGAGGTGCTCTGCACCCCTGGCAGGCACCAGCATCACCATGGGGATGGTAGTCACCTACCCCATCCATCCAACCCCAGCAGCACATGCTGGGGGAAGCTGCCCTGCTGTGGTCAAAAGGAAAGGGCAGGTTGTGGCTGTCATCTGCTGGGAGGAGTGAGGGCCAGCCCCGTGCCCATGCATGCGCCATCTGCAGGTTGCCCAGAGCAGGGGAGACATCTCATTTTGATTCCTGTCAACCTCCAGCCTGGAAACTCTTTTGCCTTCTATTTTATGTCATACCAGCACCAAAACAAGACCTGCTCCATCCTTTCCTCTTCTGGGGGTGCCAGGCTCCTCAGGCTTCAGGGAAGACACACCCCAAAACCTCCCATTCAGCAGTTTCCCAGGTCAGCAAAGGAGCCACACCAGGAGCTTGCTGCAGAAGAGCACACCAAAACAGCAAATCTGGAAGCATGTATTTTTTAGAAACTCAGAAGCTGAAGCCTGTTGGTACAGTATGTATTTGGAAGGGTTAAAGTCACATCTTCCAGTCTTTAATTGCTTAACTATTCTATGCTTTCCTTAATGATAAACAGATGGATGTTGTCTCGTTCCTTCCTGTTCTAGCTCCATTGATGGCATTGGATGAGCTGCTGGGCTGAATTCGGCCTCGGCTGTTTATTAAGAAGTCTGCTCCACGTTTCAATCTCTATGTCCACCCACCTCCATTCCCAAGAGCATGTGGCACCAGCAGCACCATAAGGTGCGGGCTGCAGCACCGGGTCTCACTCACCATCCAGGCTGGGGGTCAAGTCTGCTGCCTGTGCCTTGTGCAGAGCCCAGCACCCCC